TTTTTTATACTTTTTCTTTGTTTCTTTCCTAATCAAAAAAATAAATTGTAGGTTAAGCTCTGCTTAGGACTTCAGTACATCTCTATATGTAATTTCATAATTATTTTTATTGTCTTATGAAATATGGATAAAGTGCTCTTCTGAATGTGCTGACAAGCATTAATGGGAAACAAAAATATACTTTACTGTCATTTCTATTGAAACTTGTATGTCATGGCCATCTATTTAATTATTTTTGCAATCGCATATTTGCATTGATGTAGTTGAATTTACTAGATTTAAAATGTATTAACTTTAAATGTGACATCAAATTAGGGTTCGGGTTAGTAGAATAAGATCGCATGCACTTGCAAAGTTACTTAGTCAGTAGAATGTCTGTTGAGGAGCGTCAAAATAAAGTGTTAGCAGATATAAAACAAACAGTCTAATAATACTGTAATGACTACTAGTTGACATGTCAGTGGAATGTCTAAAGTGGACCATCAAAATAAAGTGTTATTGCATAATGGTTGCATATCTTATCTTTAGAAGCACACTGTGTGTTCTCTGACAAGCATCATTCACATCTGGTCTGTACAGAGCAAGAGTCTACTCTATTTGTTACATGGTTGCTTGCATGCTAAATAGAAGTCTACTAAAGCACCGAATAGTACATAACAATTCCTTCTTGATGGACTTGAGGTGCAACAGAAAACTGACACAAGTTTTCTCCCTCCACATACAGGTCGCATATGTGTAGTACACACCAGAGCCGTTTCCAGCTCGAGTCTGGTTTAACTGCCTGCACCTGCGCTGAAAGAGATTCAGGACAAGCAGCGCTACAATGGAGCTGACTGAACACATGTGTTCATGCGCGCGTCGATGTGTGTCGCACGGCACACCTGGAAACCAGAGGCCGGACTGCTTCTACAATAATCATGCAGTAAATTACACCTTCATATGCAACAATATGGCACTGATTCATTAAACATAAGTCGGTGCATGCACTGTAAAAAAAATAGCTGTAGTTATGCAACTGTTTCCCAGTAACTTACTGTAGATTTAAATTGATGTATATTTACTGGCAACAGTTTGTTCAAAGTTAAATGAACATTAAACATTAACAAGTCTTTGTCTTTGAATAAAACTGTAAAATAACAATCTAATGCAAAGCATTCTGGGAACCAGAAATCTTCATCAACCTTTTTCTGTTTTTTTTTCCTTCAGATTTTGGTTCCCAGAATGCTTTGCATGGGGCTGTTATTTTAGTTTTATTCTGTAAAGATAAAGACTTGTTAATGTTTAATGTTCAGTTAACTTTGAACAAACTGTTGCCAGTAAATAACATCAATTTAAAACTACAGTAAGTTACTGTCAAGCAGCTGCCAGTAATACTGTAATTTCTACAGATTGTTTTTACAGTGTGTGATTGCTATATATTTGCTGTCATGAAAATTATGGAAAAACAGACATAGGCTAAGTACGTAATGAAAAAAAAACAACAACAACAGCCTGTCAGCTTTGAGGTAACGCTTAACATCATAACGTCAGGCACCGATTTAGTTATAACCGTGCATGACTAGCCTGGGAAAACCCAGACAACTTCCGGCAAATTTAGATTTGCCCTGAAAGTTAGTCTGGCAAAGAGCTCATTCAAGCCCATTTCCAATCCGTCGGAATCGAGGCACCAATCAGAAACGTTGGGGCGGGCTTTACACGATGACGACAGCGCTGGGATTTTGAAGCAGATTTTGTAGCCTACATTACAAAGATGGATGCCGGCGTCGAACATCACTCGTTCGAATCAGCTATCGCGTCTGTTTTAAGTGATTTGAACGTTTCCCTTTTGTTAAAAACCGCGCAAAGAACAACACTCGGAGATGTTTCTCCGCCGCTCTGCATACGCCATCTCCTTCATCGCTCTGATTGGGTTTAGGTCTATCCGCGACGTCCGTTGGTGACGCCCCTCTGGAAATGATTTGTCTATGACGCTTTGCCAGACCATAACTCAGTTACAACTGAGAATGGTCTGGTTTTAACCAGGCTAGTGCATGACCACAGCGTGGACGAAGTGGAGCCGTTCGTTCTTTGGAGAGGAGAGCAGTGAGAGCATCACAAAACTGCAAAATGTTTAGCAATTCTAGAAACGCAATTGGAAGCCAAATCTCTGATTCTGCTAGAGTTTAATCTAGTTTTCAAATGCGGTTTAGTGTGGCGAGGCAGTGGCTGGGCCAATAAACAGGGTATTAAAACAACAAACTGATTTTCCTTGTGAAAAAGAAGCATACTCTTTTAAACAGAGTACTTATAATGGAAATAATATACTTTAAAAGTAGCCTATATATAGTTCACCCCTAACAATGAAAATTCTTTCATTACTCAACCTCGTGTCGTTACAAACTCATAATTTCTACAGATTGTTTTTACAGTGTGTGATCGCTATATATTTGCTGTCATGAAAATTATGGAAAAACAGACATAGGCTAAGTACGTAATGAAAAAAACAATAACAACAGCCTGTCAGCTTTGAGGTAACGCTTAACATCATAACGTCAGGCACCGATTTAGTTATAACCGTGCATGACTATACCTGGAAATGGAAATAATATACTTTATATTATACCTTGGATTAAACCGTTCGACTCATATGGATTTCTTATACGATTTCTTTATCAACTCAACAAAAACATGTTGTAAATAAACGTTTTTGAAAGGGGTGTAACAATATATCCCTAATATATCCGCTGATAATGCCTGCTTTCAAACGCTCCCGAGTGTATCTGTGTAAGCGCTCGCTGAAGTGTTGATCATTGCAGCCAATCACAGACATGTATATTAAGCACGTGAACACAATGACCAATCAGAGGTGTTTAGGAATCCGTTCAACAGCGCTCAAAATCGCATCATCACATTTAAAAAAATGTCAGTACCGACTGGGTATCGAAGTCACTACTTTGAAAAATGGTTCAAATATACGGACAAGCATTTATGGGAAACTAAATCATACTTTAACCTAAGTTCTGATTCATATTTTATGTCATGTATTTCAATATATTCTTAATGGTCCAACAAAAAGTGTATTAAAGTAACAACCCTTTCTTTAAAAAAAACTAAGTTTGCATTATTCCAACTGTTTTCATGCATGTCTGATGACTTCAGATGAAAGTATAAGGTAAGAAGTAACGGCTCCAGACGAGGGTTTCAGTCTGACTAACAGCTGTCGCAGTCCAACGGTTTCTGCATGCGGTGGCTTGGATGACAGTTCAAGAGTGTGTTTTGAGGTTACCGTCTCACACAGGCGAGCTCGTTCACTGGTTTAGACTTGACTACACTGTGCCTCACACATGACTAAAGAAACAACCGAGAAACGGCATCTCTGGATCTCGTGTCAGCATCCTAAACACTCTCTAAACACACGGGCCCGTCGGATTAAATAAAACACCAAACATCAGAACGTTCACAGCGCTCGGCCCTCACACGCATCACCTCGGAGAAAAGGTTCAAGAGGTCGTTTCTTTCCAGTGGACATTGTTTATGATGGTGCAACATACTCAGGCGAAGCTGGAGGCTTTTAGTGAGTGTCTCCAGCAACAAACATCAGCAAATCCCATCAAACCCGACCCGGTCCGATCCCACTCGTGATCCCCGAGGGGCCCTGAGGCTTGGGAAAACGACTGAGCCCTTGCGCCCTTGTACCCTTGTGGCCTTGTGTCCCGTTTGGGGAGGTGTCAACTGATAGTTGGTGCCACTGCTGCGTCCACCCCAACACACACACACTTATACATACAGATGGTGCATGTCGCCACTTTTTCCAGCATTTTGAAAAGCAGGGAGGCTGATGTCAAACACTGGGAGGAATGTACTCATTTTGAATAAACATTAAAAAAAAATGTCCAGGACAAAAAATCCAGAGCATGTAGTCACCTCCCCCATCTAACGTCACACACACACACACACTGAGTGTGGCAGAGAAAACATTGTTCTCTGGGGGATGACAGGGACATTGACCCCCAAAGAGATGCTTTTACCAGATGCCTCACAGTTTCCTCCTCCTCAAAAACTGAAGTGTGTGTTTGCGCGCACATGCACGTTGCACAGTTGCACACACAAAGATCTGTTTTACGCCAAACAGTCCTCAACTTTATATTGTGTCAAGAGTGCATTGAACTCGTTCTGAGACATGCCACAGTCACTTTAAAATCAACGTGAAACTCGCAGCACAATTCCCTTCTTAAATATGAAACTTTTACAGTGAAACGGGATGGAATGATTTTATCGATCAGGAATTGACTGGACCAATAGAGAGGGATTTGTGATGTCAGCCGAAAAGGAAAGCAATTTTAAAAGTTGAGAGCAAGTATATAACAAGACATCTTTTTAAATTTGGAAATTACATGTGCATGTAAAATGTGCATATAGAAGAAGATAAAATAATCAAATAATAATAATAAATTAAATATTTTATATCTTAAACAATTTAAATAATTAATTACAATTTTTGTTTTAATTAATTATTATTATATAATTCATTTAAAAAAAAGAAAAATTAACATATATATATACAGGTCAAATGTTTTGGAAAGCTTGCTATTTTTAAAGTTTTTGAAAGAAGTCTCTTATGTTTATCAACCCTGAATTTATTTGATCAAAAAAAACAGTAATATTGTGAAATATTATTACAGTTTAAAATATCTGAATATAATTTAAAACACAATTTATATCTGTGATGCAAAGCTGAATTTTCAGCATCAGTCTCCAGTGTCACACGATCCTTCAGAAATCACTCTAATATGCAGATTTGTACTCAGTTATTGTCAATGTCGGAAACAGTTGTGCTGCTTAATATTTATTTGAAACCTGTGATGCCTTTTTTAGGATACGTTGATGAATAATATGTTAAAAAGAAGCATTTATTCAAAATAAAAATATTTTCTAACAATATAAATCGTTACTATTACTTGTATTGAACACATCCTTGCTGAATAACAGTGATGATAATCTTAATAAGACTGGTCTCGTACCGTTATGGCAGTATTCGGGTCCTGTGGGCACCTCCTGCAGGGGGATGTGCTGGCCGTACAGGGGTCTGGCTGGAGCTGGGTGGAAAACTGCAGGAGACTGCGTATGAGGGACCAGAGACACCGCCATCCCGCCACTCGTCCTCTACAGGGACCAAACAGACGCACAAATACTGTGTTCAAACACTCCTGGGCAAACAATACAGCTGGCATGCTCATTTATATTGGGAAAGCCACAGTTGGTTAATTTTGCAGCACTTCAAGCACAGAATAGTGATGGAAATAAATTACGTTTGTGTGTGTCAAGGCTCTCTTCTCTTTCAAGGGGTTTCATTCATGACCGCTTGCCACCGGTGATCAGCAAAGATTTTTACATATGAAATTCCCTGTGTGGCCCGAGGCAGATTGAGTTTCTGTCGAGGCAAAGCGCTTAAGAAGCATTTTCACTCTTTTGATCTCGGTGGGACTCTGACGTCAGGCCAGGAGAAGGGGAAGTCACACGCTCAAAGAAGAGACACATAGAGAACTGCTGAGTCAACCGGTTCCTTATTGGGGTCATACCACATTTTGTTTAGTTTTGGATTTTCCTAAAGTCCTCTTATAATGTTAGTGTAACGTACGGACAGAGGCGGTCGGATCCATGTGCAGCACTTTATTTAAACTTAAAGCCAAGCAGACATAAACTCAAGCAGACAGTTCAAAAAGGGGCAATGAGGAAACTCGTGGTCAAAACAGGCTTAGGTCGAGGCAGGCAGCACAGGTTCAAACAGTCCAGGTAACAGGCAAAGATCAGGAGTCCAGGGAAACACGGAATACTAAAACAAGGAATAATGCTCAGAGATGCACGCTTACAGTGTAACAAGACTTCGCAAAGGACAAAGGAGAAACACAGGTTTAAATCAGGAGCTCAATCACCAATAATGAAACACAGCTGAACATAATAAAACATAATGAGTCCATGGGGAAAACATAAAACAATGTGAGAGTGCCCTCCAGAGGCTCTCGAGGGCACTACAACTGCTGATCGTCACATAACCCCCCCTCTAAGGAGCGGCTTCCAGACGCTCCTAAGAGCTCCGGGGGGAGGTCAACGGGGGCTGGGATGGAGGGCCAGGCCCGTGGAGAGGCAGGAGGCAAGGCACATGGAGAGGCCTCGGGCCTAGAGACCACAGCGGGGCACGCGTCGAAGACAACCAGGGTGGAACACACTTGACAGGAGACCAGGGTTGAACACACTTGACAGGAGACCAGGGTTGAACACACTTGACAGGAGACCAGGGTTGAACACACTTGACAGGAGACCAGGGTTGAACACACTTGACAGGAGACCAGGGTTGAACACACTTGGAAGGGGACCAGGACGGAGCAGACTCGGACGGAGACGAGGGCGGAGCAGACTCAGACGAGGGCGGAGCAGACTCGGAGGGAGACGAGGGCGGAGCAGACTCAGACGAGGGCGGAGCAGACTCAGACGAGGTCCATGTCAGCGTCACCTCCATGGCCCTCACAGAGTACCTACTGCCCCCCCCAAAAAAATACTTGGGGAAATTCACAGGTTCAGGAAAGCCCTCCCGGAACTTGAAGGGCGCAGGCAGGGCGAGGCGCAGAGGCGGGGCCGGCAGGGCGAGGCGCAGAGGCGGGGCCGGCAGGGCGAGGCGCAGAGGCGGGGCCGGCAGGGCGAGGCGCAGAGGCGGGGCCGGCAGGGCGAGGCGCAGAGGCGGGGCCGGCAGGGCGAGGCGCAGAGGCGGGGCCGGCAGGGCGAGGCGCAGAGGCGGGACCGGCAGGGCGAGGCGCAGAGGCGGGGCCGGCAGGGCGAGGCGCAGAGGCGGGGCCGGCAGGGCGAGGCATCTGGGAACGCCTTCCGGAGCCTGGCGAGCCAAACGAGTCCTCCTCCTCCTCCTCCTGCGACGGCGCTTCACTGGGCTTGAAACTTTCACTTGGCTGGACTCACTTGACTTGGAACTTGACTCGGCGGCACTTGACTCACTTGACTCACTTGACTCACTTGACTCACTTGACTCACTTGACTCACTTGACTCGGCACTTGACTCGGGACTTGATTCGGGGCTAGATTCACTTGACTCGGGATTCGATTCTTTAGAGTCGGATGGCACGTGCTCAAACTCCAGTTCGGCCGGCGAAACCTCCGCTGTATCTGGATTAGCAAGTTCAACAAAACCAGTGCGGAATACGGGCTCGAGGGGTCCGATACGATGAGTGGGTTTGGCAGGAACGATAAACTTGAAAGCCCCTCTGACGGTCCTCAAGGGAGGATCAAACAGTTTGGCGAGCTGAGGCTTTAGCGGCGTGCGGAATGAGTGAGAGAAATCCGCCGCATACGAACCTCCCCGACGCAGAGACAAGAGCAGTTCCTCGGGATCCTCCTCTTCTGCGGGGAGTTCAAAAGCCTCTCTGAATAGGGCGATAAATACCTCATAAGAAGGGAACGACATCCGACCTGGTTCCCAGAGCGCGCCTGCCCACTCCAGAGCCTTTCCAGTGAGCAGTGAGCAGATGAGGGAAACGCGGTCGTTACCCGAGGTGTAAAACTGGGGATAATGATTCATGTACAAACTGCACTGCTGAAGAAATCCTTCACACGCCACAGGTGAGCCATCAAACTTTTCAGGAAATGACTGACTGGAATAGTTAGATGCAGTACTCACACTGGTTTGCGGTGGAACAGGTGCAGCGGGAGCTCTGGCTAGATTAGCGGCTGTGCTTGAGCTCTGCGGAGATAACGTTAGTATGGAGCTTGCTAGTTCATCGAGGAGAGAGGTTAGTCCCGTCAGCTGTAAGTGATGAGAGGCTAGCATGGAAGCTCGAGTCTTGACCACGGTGGATAGATGCTGAAAGTCTGCTGGATCCTCGTTAGGCGAAGTCTTCTGTAACGTACGGACAGAGGCGGTCGGATCCATGTGCAGCACTTTATTTAAACTTAAAGCCAAGCAGACATAAACTCAAGCAGACAGTTCAAAAAGGGGCAATGAGGAAACTCGTGGTCAAAACAGGCTTAGGTCGAGGCAGGCAGCACAGGTTCAAACAGTCCAGGTAACAGGCAAAGATCAGGAGTCCAGGGAAACACGGAATACTAAAACAAGGAATAATGCTCAGAGATGCACGCTTACAGTGTAACAAGACTTCGCAAAGGACAAAGGAGAAACACAGGTTTAAATCAGGAGCTCAATCACCAATAATGAAACACAGCTGAACATAATAAAACATAATGAGTCCATGGGGAAAACATAAAACAATGTGAGAGTGCCCTCCAGAGGCTCTCGAGGGCACTACAACTGCTGATCGTCACAGTTAGTGATGTTTTTTTTGTTTTTTTGTTTTAAGAAACATTTGCATATGTTACTGTAGGCTGTAGGGTTTTCTGTCAGCTCCAATATAGTGTTCAAATGCCCTTTTCTTCAATAACAGCTAGGCTCTCTGCGTGAAACAATCTGTGCTGGCGCATCACCAGTTAAAGTCAGATTGTAATGATTTCATTTTCCTAAAACAAAGTCAACCGCATTTCTATCGTTTTGTATGTTTTCATAGTACATCAAGCTCTTTTATCTCAGAGGAAAGTTTGATTTCTCATGATATACTCAAAACAAAACAAATGGCTGATTATTTATGAGTCTAAACTAAAATATCAATCAATGTTTTCTGTTTTTTTCAGAAAGTATGCTGATCAAGGATCAACTCTGGCCTTTAATATACCAATAAAAAAGCCGGTAAACATGGATAAGCTAATTGTTGATTCATGCTGTAATTGTATTAACCACTAAAAAATCTAAATAAAATCCAGCCAACCCCGAACAGTTCTTCGTCAGCGGGATGTTTTCTGAATACAGGCTATTCTAAGGGAATTTGTAACATAAAGGTCCATTGAAATAGGCAAATCAACTTCCTTTGGCCTAAAGCACATGCCATCACATGTAATTGTGCAGAAGATTGTGAGCGTACAGTAAATAGTCATTGTCCTTGGGTTGTTGACAGTCTCGGTTAGCTTCTTGAAAAGAATGTTTAAGATTGACGAAACAATGCGGTTTTTGTGACCAAAGCGTAACGGACCTTCAGACTATTGTGCATTCTTGTTCACTTTGCTTTAGAAAACTGATATGCAATCTAGAGCCGCACGCATGACTCAAAAATCATGTCCCATTTTCGGTGGGGTTTTGATTCATGTTGTGAGCTGCTGGGTACAGGAACAGGTTAACTGGTATCGGCATATCTAAAGCATCTTTGTGGTGAATAAATCAGCATTAATGCAGGGCAAGCGCATACGTCTGCTCTAGATTTATCTGTCTGAAATGTGATCTGTCTGCAAATAAGAGAGGTTTCCATTCCAATGAAGCTGCAAGCTCTCTTTGATACGATTTATCAAGACCAAAGTGTTCAGCATGACTGGTTGCGGTGCAAATAGTGATTTGACGTGTGTTCTGCCACAGGTGCCATAGTTCATTTAGAGCATCTGTATATATGTGACTGTAAAATGAAAGATACAGCATTATCCAGCCATTTTTTAAAGCTCAAAATTGAATAACATAACTTATAGCATAGCAGACATTATAAATGACACATAACACTTATACAATCCAAAATCTATGAATAATTAATTTATTTCATGCTGTTTCTTGGTAATTATTTGTGAAATTTACTACAATTTCTGAGCGAAAATTGTTTTAAATCTTACACTTTTTTTTCAGTGCATGAAATCACAATAATCTGAGTATGAAGTAACACTTTATTGTAAGGTGACGTGGTTACATTGTACTTAACTACATGTACTTACTATAGAGTTACAGTTAGAGTTTGGTTTAGGGTTAGTTATAGTTGTAAATATGCATAATTTGTACATGTACAAAGTACATGTAGCAATGTGTAAAAGAGACTGGAGTTTTAAAAGTATTGCAGCATACTGAAAATTATTTAAAGTCATACGATAGACCAACATTTAAGACATATTCATTAATAATCGTGTCATTTTAAATGCAGTGACCGGATCATTAACTCAATTTTGAAATTTACGGAAGCGTATTGCATTCATTTGAGGGAAAAAAATCTACTCTGTTTTTCTGAATTAACGAGTTAATTATCTCAGAATTACCAACGCTATCTCACGACCAATTCGTCCGAATTTGACGAGTGATT